TTTCGAAGATATTTATAGTTGGGTTACGGTAGCACTCGTTTGCCGGCTGTGTTTTCGAAAATTCTCCTTGAAATACGGTGGCCTAACTTGTGTGAAAATTCGGCCACAACTCCAATTTTTTGCACAAGAATAATATTCCTATTTCCAGTCTGCAAAATTCCAGATCTCTGAATACGACGCCAGTCTGCGTCGTGGATCCGTCGTCGCCCCCGGCAACGAAATTCAACAAGTGTGGGCGGCGCTCTCGGCGAAAGGCCAATTCCAAGGACAACGTATCGCCGCACATCTTCATACTGTGACACAGTTTCTTTTAAAAAGTCGATGAAATTCAAATTTTTCAGTTAACCGAAACCCCGGCCACGTCGATCTTCTAAGATGTCTCTCGCCTGGCTAGTGCTCTTCCCAGTCGCCGCGTTCGTTATCTTCCTCGTCGTCGTTCTTTTCATCTTCTTCTCTATCCCATCTCGTCGCGACTTCCCGTTCTTCCGTCGCCATGCAATTGTCACCGGTGGATCCAAAGGAATCGGATACCAATTGGCTGTTGGACTGATTGAAAGGGGATGTCATGTGACGATTGTGGCGAGAAATGTTAAGGATCTCCAGGTTATTATCTAATAGTATTTGCTCTCTCTAACTATTGAAATTTTCAGAAAGCCTGTGAAGAACTTCAAATTCTGGCTGATCAGCGCGGACAACAACAAAAAGTTCAATGGAAATCTATCGACATGACCGCAGACTACGATGTTATCAAGGCGGCATTCGATGAATGTGCTAAGGAACTCGGTCCCATTGATATCCTCATCAACAACGCTGGTCACAGTGTCCAAGCCCCATTCTGTGATCTTCCAGCCACGGATTTCGAGAAACAAATGAGAGTCAACTATCTGAGTGCTGTCTATGCCACTCGTGCTGTTGTCGACGACATGAAGGCCAGAAAAACCGGACATATTTCATTCGTTTCGTCGGCTGCCGGACAGTTTGCCATCTTTGGATACTCGGCGTACTCGCCAACCAAATTCGCACTCCGTGGATTCGCTGACACTCTTCATATGGAGCTGTTACCGTATAAGGTCAATGTGGCAGTGTTGTATCCACCCAATACGGATACCGAGGGATTCAAGGTATGGTTTTTAGGAATAGGGGAACTTCTATAGGAAATTCGTCAAATTTTTATTGCTTGATTTTGTGCAGAAAATAGAAAAAATTATATTGGAAAAATTCGGAAAATTCTCGGTTTTTCAACCAAATATTCGAAATTTTTAGAACTTTTCAGGTTTTTCATCCATATTCGAAGATTCTTTCCCGTTTTTTTCCGGTTTTCTTTATGAAAATTGACGGGATGATATTCGGGAAGATTACTGTAGATTACTGTAGAAGCTAGTAGCTTTTTTGCAAACACAATCACGTCAATATGCAGAAAAAATGGCAATTTTTCTTGGCAAAAAACAACAAGGAAATTTCTACAGTAATCTACAGTAATCTAAAAAAATAATCCACAAAACTTGAAAATTTTCGACAACAAAAAAAAATGATTTTTCAGCTGGAACTCGAAACGATGCCAGAAGAAACCAAACTGATGAGCGACGCCGCAGGCCTCTTCACACCGAAACACGTCGCCGAAGCTCATCTGAAAGACATCGCTGACGGAAACTACACTACTACCATCGGCCTGGATGGGTGGATGCTTGGATGTCTGACTGCTGGAGCGTGTCCTGAAAAGTCTCTATTTCGTGCGTTGACCCAATCCGCTCTCGCTGGAGTCTTCCGCGCTATCACTCTAGTTTATCTTGGATATTTCAATGGAATCACGAAGAAGTGCTACAGAAGACGTTTGGCGTGGACCGAGGAGCCGAAAGAGGAAGAAGAGAAGAGGGAGTAGAGGAAGAAACTGTTAATTTTTATTTTATTTGTGTGTTGTTTTTATTTATTTTTCCCCCTTCAATGATCAATTGTTCATCTAGATTTTATTCAGAAAAATTCAATTTTTTATCACTTTAAGACAATTATGACTTTAACAACAAATTAAAACTCGTAAATTACAGTAACCCGAAACAATAGAGACTGACTAAATTCACTAATTATACAATAGCAATTGCCGAGTGCCTCTTCATGAAGGCACGTGGCATGAACGCTGCTCGATCGTCGTCCGACGACTGATTATTAGCCGACACCCACATCAGAGCCATCCATGGGTTATCCAGCTTTTCTTGGGTCCGGCGGCGTTCGGTTAATTGTTTTACTTCCTGGAAAAATAACTTTTCTTGATTTTCAGAGTGTTTTTTTTTCAGATTTTTGCAGATAAAAGAAAAATTTAGACACTAAAAATTGGGAATTTTTGAGTTTTTTTAAAGAAAAATTTCAGTTTTTTTGCAAATATTTCAGAGAAAAATTGGATTTTTCTCAATTTTCTTGCGAAATTTTTAGACATTTTTAGGTTTTTCATCCATATTCGAAGATTCTCATTCCGTTTTTTTCGGTTTTAATTGTCTGAAAATTGACGGGACAATATTCGTGAAGATTACTGTAGTTTTTTGCCAACAGAAATTGCTTTTTTGTCTGCATTTTGAGTGATTGTGTTTGCAGGAATAAAACTACAGTAATCTACAGTAATCTTCACGAACACCCTCCACCCTCATCTAGTTGCAGACAAAAAACTCGGAAAATGAAAGAACAACTTTGAGAATAGCTGAATAAACTAAAAGGTCTAAAAATTTAGCAGGAAAATCAAGAAAATCTCTTGAGAATTTGAGAAAAACCGAGAAATTTCCCCGAAAATGTCCAATTTTTAGTTTCTAAATTGTTTTTTTTTCAAATTTTTTGCTCACTTTTCATGTGAATCTACAAGATTTTCTGCTTAAAAACCTCTAAAATCTCACCTTCTTTTCCCTCTCCCCACATAACATAATTCGAAACTGTGTTCGAATTTCCGAATTACTACAAATGTGGGCGGGGCATCGAATCGCATTTCCTACTACTGTAAGTAATGCGGCAGAATCGGTCGCCAATCGATTGAGATCCGGATGGTGGACATGGAGATAATCTGGAAAATCCATTCTTGGGAAATGGGCAAATACAGTAGCATGAGATTTGAGTATTGTCAATTCAAAAAAATAGCACCGGTGAACACACAAACAAACAAGTAAACAAGGGGGCGGAGCGATCCGCCCCTTTTCGCAAAGGCGCCGCGCAGTTTTTCGGCGGTATTTTAGCGTCGCCGTTTTTCGGTAATTTTTCACCGAATTTCTTCCGAATTCAAGGAAATTCGTCGATTTTGTGAAGGAATATATAACTTTGTTTGGATAAAAACTGAGAAACACAATTGAGAAACAATATTCTTCGATTCAGGGTAAAAATGAAAAGATCAAGACCAGGTGACGTATCGAAGGAGACAATGATGGAAAGAAGAGGTAGAAAAGCTTTGATATCATATAAATAAATAAATTACCACTGCAAACTTTTTGTTTAGTCTGAAGTTTCCAAGTGTTTATCTTGAAGATATCTTTTGAAGCCAAGCCAGAACCTGAAAAACTCGATCAGAGAAGTATTTAGAGTTATTTGTCGACTAACCGCAGATTATTCATCACTTCTTCATAGTTGTGATACAAGAAGACGATTTTTCATGTTAGATCATAGATTAATCAGAAGAAAATCGATGAATTTCCTTGAATTCGGAAAAAATTCGGTGAAAAATTACCGAAAAACGGCGACGCTAAAATACCGCCGAAAAACTGCGCGGCGCCTTTGCGAAAAGGGGCGGATCGCTCCGCCCCCTTGTTTACTTGTTTGTTTGTGTGTTCACCGGTGCTATTTTTTTGAATTGACAATAACAAGTTGTACAGGGCTCAAATTTGAATCACGACGCCATTCATCTTTGGGCAATCATAACAATACCTAGACTTGAGGAATAGTTTTGAAAGTTTCAGTAGCTTCTCTACCAAATTTCGTGCTTCCAAGATACTTATGTCTAAAGAAATACCCTTTTTTTATCAGTCCAATAACTCACCTGGATTAAAGTAATCAGTGATAATCAAAATCAAGCTCAACAAATTTGATATGAGGTATGCCGAAATGATAACGATAAGTGTCCGTGTCGCACTTCTCAAATTCTTCCTTCGAATTTTCGATAAATCATGCCCCAAAGTCAGCTCAGCGATCAAGGACCTCAATTGTTGCACATTTTGTTTCCGAAGCATCCGAACGATTCCTCCATTGAGAAAAATCAGCGTGAAAAATGGGAGAAAAATCGCTAGCGAGTGCAACCATCCCATATGACCAAGCTCTCCTCGCTGAATCTTCACCGCCCATCTTCGAAACCCAAAACAGTTTTCTCTGGTTACAACGACGGCTTCTTCTGACATATACTTAATGAAAACTGCTGCACAGACAAGAAAGAAAAGGACCATCCAACGGGTACGCATTTCAAATCCAACGAATGTCCAATGCTTTGTCATACAGTACCTGAAAAAGGGAATTTTTTGAAACGGAATTTTTAAAGTATTACCTTTCAATACTAGCCATTATCAAGGAGAATACCGATGAGATCTTGACAATTTGAGCGAACAGATAGACGTGGCGGACATATTTCAGCCAAATTTGATAGGCCACACTCTCCTCGTAGTACACAGAACTGACTTCCAGTGGCTGAAAAAATTTTGAAAAATTTTTTTTTCATTTTCTGTGCATTTCGCTAACTTCAAATTCAAATTGCTCTAACAGAAGCTCACCTTACATGCATACTTTGAGCTCAAATATCTCGGTTCCTTTAAGAGATATCAGCTAATTTTCAACTGATAAAATGTTTTTCTCAATATCACCAATATTTTATCTGTTGACAATTTTTTGGCATCTCTTATAGGAACTGAGATAATTTAGCTCAAAGTGCACATCAAGGATAGGCTTCAATTATTGAGCAAATACGATAGTCTATGCCTATATGTGATCTTTGAGCTCAATTATCTCGGTTCCTGAAAGAGATATCAAAAAATTCTTAATTGATAAAATGTTTATCATAATATCAAAAACATTTTGTTAGTTGACAGTTTTTGATATCTCTTATAGGAATTGAGATAACTGAGCTCAAAGAAAGAGTGGGCTTCTATTGGGACAAGTACGGCATCTTCTTACTCTCCCCTATTTTTCTGCACAATTAGCTAAACTCAACTTGATTTCAGGCCCACTATCTATCAGTCTAGAAATTCCAACCTCATTTTCCTAGAAATGCCCATCCCTAGTGTTTTTTTTTCCGAGAACTTCTACTGGTAAGCCAAACAAGGTAGTCCCATTGGTATCAGTGGTGCATCAAAAAAAGGAAAAAGGATTAGTGGGACCCTTTGTGATGGACGCCGCGCTACTTGACACGCTATACTCCTTTTAAAGAATGCCGAAAAAAGAAACAAAAAAGAAACAAAGGAGGAGGCACGAGAAGATTGAGATTCTGAAAATCGAATGACCGGAAATCAGGTCTACAGTAGTTCAGAGATTCAAAAAAACGTATATTCCAAAAGTCGATATTCGTTGTATTCTTAACTTTTTAAATCTCATCTAGATCTAGTTGACTTCATTTTAAAAAAAGCGCTCCTTTGCTTAATTATAGCTAGTTGGCGGCTGAAGGACAACTGGCAGGCATTTAACGGACCATCAGCGGACCATCGGAAGCCCATTCAAACTGTCAACTTTGAGCTTCATTATCTACATTCTTTCAGAAGATACTAAAAAATGTTCAACTGATAAATTATTTATCATATTATCACCAATATTTTATCAGTTAACAAACGTTTGATATCTCTTATAGTAACCGAGATAATTGAGTTCAAAGTTGACGTGTTGGCGGTAACGGTTATCAGCCTTTCCTTTTTCAGAATTCGCAGAATCAAAAACTTTCAGAATCCCAATAATGCTAAGTTCAATATATACTGATTCCATGATTCCTTGAATCTCAGACATATCCTTCCGGATCGAAGATTCCTTCCAGACAGTCCGGAAGGGTCCCCATTTTTTTTCTGCAAATCCATCGTCTTCCCCGGAATCTCTTCCGGAAATCGACGATTTCGTGACCATTTCTACTTTCTTCCTCCCCAGTTTTTCATGCGTTTTAAATCCAACAAACACTCTATTCTTCTACCCCCTCTGGACATCATTTTCATCATTTTCGCACCCCCTCATGTACGGGGTTAAGGACTAAAAAAAGAAAAAGAAGAAGAGTAAGACAATGAGCAAAAAACGGGAAATTGGGGTGGGGGGAAATCAGAAGTCAAACATCTCAAAATCATCAAATGGAATCTTTTGGGGAAAAAAAACTTACGAGTAAAAGTAGAAATGTGGCATCAACCAGTGTGTCGAATAGAGCGACAAATCCCAGAAAGAAGAACGGAGAGTTTCTGGAAAAATTGGATTAATGGAGGTTTTTCGAAAATTCTCAAGTCAGGTTACGCATTCTGTCGTAACGGAGAAGAGGTAAGAGATAATGAGAAAAGGAGAGAGTGCAGAGAAGCGAAATTGTCTGGTTTCTCTGCACTCTCTATTTCGGTACCTGGAAGGTTTGAGCTCAATTATCTCAATTCCTGTGCAAGATAGGAAAACTATTTTAACTGATAAAATATTGGTGATACTATGATAAATAATTCATCAGTTGACATATTTTTGATATATTGCACAGGAATTGAGATAATTGAGATCAAACTTGACCGTGTGACCCGCTTATAACACCGTAGCTCATCTGGAAGCGGCGCGGTTAGGTCCACAATTTCGTGTTTGAACCGAATTCCGAGAAAATTATTTTTATGTCCCCCCTCCTTTAAAAAATGAGCATTCGAGAAGGAAATGGAATATTCTGGTACCGTGGGAATCGCAAAGGAATGAGCTAATTCTGGAGATACGTGCATTGTAGAATATAGAATGATTAGAAACTACGCAGTTTGGTTTAGGAGGGAGGAGAGAGTAAAAATAGAAATCTCGAAGTTTCTATGTACGACTGATTTCCGAATTTCGGACTACTGGGAATAGGAAAGTCTGGAAAACATCCAATATTCAGAATCTGTTATATTTTCGAAATTGCTAAATAATTAGTTTCAGAACACTGACATTTCTAGAACTGATAAAAGTTTGGTGGTCTTACAACGACTAGTACAGTAACCTACAAACATTTTTATTTTCCAGATTTGAAAAAAAAAACTGTGAAAACGAACATTTTTATAGGTCACGGTAGTTGTCTTTATGGGACCTTCAGATCCAATTTTTCTATACCAGAATTATAAGATGCTTAGAATTCTACATATTTTCAAAACCTTCCGTTTTGGACCTGATCTTACAATCTCATAGTCTTCTAGTCTGGAAATCCTGAGCTGACTCGAGAATTCACTAGAAACTCAAAAAACTTACATTTTCAATCCCAATTTCACTAAGGAAAATCCCCAAACTTCCCCTACTCAAAAAATCCCGATTTCTGTTCTACCTGGCGAATCATAAAACTACGTCAGAAGTACCTAACAACATGTGTAATACATTTCCTTATGATTTCCCATCATTTTGATCTTCCAGACACCCTACTTTCTCTCTGCGTCTCTCCCATTTCCCTTATCTCTCATTTCCAGTGTTCGCTTTTTGCAAATACACATTCTTTGACCCATCTCTTCTCTGATAGTATCCCCAACGATTTGTCACTCAGAATAGCACTCCCAGTCGAAACGAAAACCTTCTTCTTTTTGCACAAAATCTTTTCGCTTCTCTGCGTCTCTCCATTTCCTACATTCTCACATCAATACATACTTCCAATCAGCAAAATTGAGAGGACAAATGACCCCCGCAGGTTGCGTGTGTCTGTGTCATGGGTTTGACCCGCTACTATACGGATATAAAACATTTGGACATATAAAAAAGGTCCTACCGATAAATTGAACGAGTCAAAAATAGGGTGGCCAGAAATCCATTGGCTATCACTCCAAATATTGCGATTACTGTACCGAATACTCCGTTTATGTAGAACCTGAAATATTTGAAAATTTGTATTTCAATTTTCTTAAACAGGAGTTAAACTTATGGTTCCAACGCTGAAGGTGCCGTGCCGCTACCAACTGAGCTAGCTGAGCACGCTTTCAACTTTGAGCTCAATTATCTGAGTTCCCGTGTGAGATATCAAAAATGTGTCAACTAATAAATTGTTTATCGGACTATGATGAACAATTTATCCGTTGACACATTTTTGCTATCTCGCACAGGAATTGAGATCATTGAGCTCAAACTGAACACTTCGGGGTCCTTCTAAGAGCAAAGAAACCAGACACTCTCGCTTCTCTGCTACCTCCCCTTATCTCTCACCTCTCCTCCAAAAGTCGTTGCTCTGGAGACGTCAAACAACTTATCGGCTCCTCCATTTCCATAGTATTCTGAAATGGGACCATTCTAGAAAATACAGAAATATGATGACGAAGAATTTCCGGGACCGTTCACTGCATAAGGGACCTTTTTTCAACCAAAGAAAGTGTGGAGAAATGCAACAGAGCATGAACTCGCCGAGCACTTTTAGGCTCCGCCCACTTTGGAAGAAAACAAGAGAAGAAGAAGAAGAAGAAGGAGGGGAGAATGATGGATGGTGAAAACAACAAGAAGAAACATGAAAACAGTGAGTTGCGGGGATTACTGTACTCATCATTAATCAAGAACACAAGAATGATCAGGAGGAGGTCAAAAAAAGATAGAAGACGTCGGAAAATGAAAGCGTTTGAAATTCAGGAATCTTGTTTGAAGGTGGGAGAGGAGGCGTAAAAAATGGTTTTCTCAAATTCCTGTTTCTCGAGGAATTGAACTGGCGGTCCCACTTTTGGAGGTGCCGCGCCACTACCAGCTGAGCTACGGTGGCGCAAGCTGAGCACACTGTCAAGTTTGAGCTCAATTATCTCAATTCATGTGCACGATATCAAAAATTAACAAACTGGCAAAATGTTTATCATAATATCACAAATATTTTATCAGTTGACACCGTTTTTCTGTCTTGCACAGGAATTCAGATAATTGGGCTCAAACTTGGCAGTGTGGATCCTTCTATTATAGGTTTTACCGTATACAATAAGAGTGAAAAAAATCTGAAAGATTCCTTCAAGCTAGAAAACCTAAAATATGTAATTTTTTTCTGTGATGCATCAATGGTCAAAATGTGGACAACCAAAAAGGGAATTGAGAATAATTAGATTTTTTTTGGACTTTTTCACCTGTTTATTTATTTTTCTCTTATCAATATCCAATCTTAACTTGAAGATCAGAACCTCAAAATCCAGGAAATTTAAAACCCTAAGATTTTTTGAAGAACTTTAGAATCCTTCAGAGCTTTGAAACATAGTTCTGGAAGATTCCAAAAATCATATCCGGACCTCCTAGACCCATTTTCTTTTCTGAAGAACAAAACAAAACATATTATACACAAAGAAAAATAAAAGAATAGGAAAAAATGGATGATCATTATAAAAAAAAAGAGACATTGAGCACCAACAAGGTGGGGGTGGAATAGAAAAGAGAGGGAGGGTGTCAAGGGCGACTAATGGAAAAAAAAGGAAAAAGAGGAGAAGAGGGTCTCCTGGAGCTATTAAACATGATATATTTGGTGGTTTGGGAATGGGGGAAAAGATGATGTTTTAGTAACAAAAAAAAATAGTGACGTTGGGAGGAAGAAAAATGAGAGGAATGATGTTCCAGGAAAGATGAATGGGAGTAAAGGTAGAGGAGACTCTCAGAATCACTAGATCCTAGAGAAAATTATAAGAATATTGGATAAAAATAAATCCGGATAGTAATATTTAAGCTCATGAAGCGCGACTGAAGATCTAAAAAGCTCGAATAGAACTCGCGAAACCTGTAATAAAAGAGCCCCCACACTGTCAAGTTTGAGCTCAATTATCTCGTTTCCTATAAGAGATATCAAAAATGTATCAGCTGAAAAAGTATTGATGACATTATGATGAACAATTTATCAGTTGACAGATTCTTAACATCTCGCATAGGAGCCAAGAAATATCGGCTGAAAGTCAAAATTTGGAGGATCTTCTATTACAAATTTTACGCTTTTTAAATCTAGATTCCGATGATTTCCCATTACCGTAATACGGTAATGGGAAATCATTTCGGCTTTCAAGAAAGATATAGAAATGTTGGTAGAGCTTTGTCATAAAAATATTCATTAGCTTCGGGATATTTCTCATGCGATACCGTAATGAACGCCACCTTATACGTCCACTTTAAGCTCGATTATCTCACAATAAGTTTCTGTAAGAAATATTAAAAATGTGTAAACTATGAAAATGTTGCTGATACTGTGACGAGCATTTTATCAGTTGGCAAAAGTTTGATACCTCTTATAGGATCCGAAATAATTGAGCTCAAAGTACAAGTAGGGAATGACCTCCTATTAAAGCAATTACGGTAGTTTTGAATTGCTCCCAAACTGTTTTGAAATAATTTCAGTAAAACGGTCCAAAATTATTCAAGTTTGACTGAAATAATGTCTAAATCTGAAATAAAAAAATGATCTTCAAAAACTGAACATTCCCCGAAATTCGACTGAAAGTAGTAGTGAAAATCTACTGCAAACCGGAATTGAAAAAATAAAAACTTCTCGAAAAGTTTATATAAATTATCGAAAACAGCATCGAATTGAATGCAAATTACCTTTTAAAAATCATAGTCCAAAAACTTTTGAACTAGCCAAAAAAACGCTCTAGAAAAGCTGAAAATCGAATAGACTTTAGTTCATTTTTTCTGGCAGCTGAAATTCAAAAACCATGGTCAGACCCAGTTCATCAAATATTTCAGGAGACATTCTCCAGTACTTTTCCTATGAACCCATTTTTCGAGAAAAAAGTACAAAACAACAAAATTGGTGAATGAATCATTATGTCATTCCTCTTTCTTTTCCAGTTGTCTTCTAAATAACAACGATTTGTGAGGTCCAGAGAGGAAGATTCTTCAAAACACAGAAAACACGATCATAAATAATATTGGATTGGGGTCGAACGAGAGGAAAAAAAAGAGAGTGGATCTATCAAAAAGTTGGAGAAAAATATATTGGACGGACCTTGAGGCAATTGCTCTTTACACTTTTTCGGGAAAGTTTTCTTTTTTTTTTCATTTTCTAAAGAAATATCTTAAAGGAAATGGTTTCTGGGATGAATGTGTGAGAATCCGAGCCAAAGCCAAATGACTCAAAAAAAAGGAAGCAAATGTCAAGAAGGAAAAAGTGGGAGAACACTTTTGTTGTTTTTCTATTTTTGGAAAATGCTTCGAAGAATTGTGTGACACCCGGGAATTCGAATCATAATCTTATTCTGGGATTCTGATGAAATTCGTTGTTTCTGACTTGGAACGCTTGAAGGAAGGAGCTGTGATGTCAGAATTTTTAAAATTTTAAGACTTTAAGGCGCCCCACAGTCTAAAATTGTCAAATTTTTTTTCTCAGGAAAAAATATTTATAGCGTCTGGCCTCGAATAGAATCTGTCTCTAAGAGAACCACCTGCCCTATATGTTCACTTCGAGCTCAAATATCTCGGTTCCATTAAAATATATCTAAAAGTAATCAAGTGATAAAATGTTTATCATATTATCATCAATATTTTTTTAGTTTACAAAATTTTGATATCTATTGAAGAAACCAAGATAATTGGGCTCCAAAAAAAACACCTATAGGGTGGGCTTCGATCCGAGAAAATGTGGCAACTAGAATTGCTTCCAAAATAAACGAACTTTAATCAAAAAAAGTTTGGGTGCATGAGGGGGTGAAGGATTAGTGTAAAACAATCAAAAAATGAGCTGAAAATAGGTCGAACCGGAAAATGAATCGGATGTGATGGGGAGACACAAACTACGGAAATAAAGAGTGATTTTAAAAGTTAAGAATTCTGAATTCCGATTTCTCTTTGAATCTGAAATTAAGAGAAAAGAAGTAAACGGTCTAATAGCACTTTGAGCTCAATTATCTCGGTTCTTATGAGAGGTAGCAAAAATCTGTCAACTGTTAAAATATTGTTGATATTATGATAAGAAGTTTATCAGTTGATGGATTCTTGATATCTATCGTAGGAATCGAGATAATTGAGCTTTAATTTCATGTATCGGGTGGGTCTCTGTAAGATCATTTACAGTGAATCAGTAATCGAATTCTGGACAAAATTTGAAATTCAAAAAGTCCAATCAATTCAAAATATTCAGGTTCTCTAATATTTGTCCTAAAATTTCTGAAACTAGTCTAATCATTGAATAATATGCAACTTGATTAATTATCATTACTAATTTTCTGTTAAATTGATTGATTAAAATGATTATTTACCTCTATAGTGTATACCAAAAGGTCATAGAGCAGATGAAATTTGAACTCATTTTTCAGAAAAAAAAGAGTTCTCAGAATCTGTTGAAAAAAAGAAGAAAAATCATTGGAGCGTATTAGAAATTTGTTCAAAATTGAACTTTTAACTTTCGAAGAAAATAGGTTTTTGATCAGGTTGAGTGGCTCAAACTAGACAAAATAACAATAACATGAAGTCAATCTTAGAGTTTCAGATTTTCAAAAATTCCAGTTTTGCATTTAAGGCTCCACAAACTAAACCAAAACCACAGAATCGAAATTTTGCGAAATTCCAATGTTTTCCAAATTTAAAAAAGTTGCCAGACATCAAAATTTGTCTTCTCCACTTGACAAAAAAAACAAGAACAAAACATTTAAAAACAGGTGAAATATTTATGAAAATTGTGCAGTTTGCACTATTTCTCTGAATTTCTATATTAAAAAATGGATTGGGAAATACTGCAACACGGGACCATCGTGTTCCAGCTACTGGATATCCAGCTAGGTTAGCAGCTGACAAAATGACAGAGAAAAAAAAGTAGTTTATTTGTTGGATTTGATGTTTATTGTGCGGAAATTGGGGGTGGTGAAAAAGATATCAAGAGAAGAAGTATTGAGGAAGAAGAAGAGCTGGAAATTTTGAGAAACAAAGAAACCAGAGATTCTGAAATTCTAAGATTCTAAGATTCCGAGATTCCGAGATCCTGAGATTCTGAGATTCTGAGATTCTGAGATTCTGAGATTCTGAGATTCTGAGATTCTGAGATTCTGAGATTCTGAATTTCTGAGATTCTGAGAATTTGAGATTCTGAGATTCTGAGATTCTGGGATTCTGGGATTCTGGGATTCTGGGATTCTGAGATTCTGAGATTCTGAGATTCTGAGATTCTGAGATTCTGAGATTCTGAGATTCTGAATTTCTGAGATTCTGAGAATCTGAGATTCTGAGATTCTGAGATTCTGGGATTCTGGGATTCTGAGATTCTGAGATTCTGAGATTCTGAGATTCTGAGATTCTGAGGTTCTGGGATTCTGGGATTCTGAGATTCTGAGATTCTGAGATTCTGAGATTCTGAGATTCTGGGATTCTGGGATTCTGAGATTCTGAGGTTCTGGGATTCTGGGATTCTGAGATTCTGAGATTCTGGGATTCTGGGATTCTGAAATTCTGAGATTCTGAGATTCTGAGATTCTGAGATTCTGAGATTCTGAATTTCTGAGATTCTGAGAATCTGAGATTCTGAGATTCTGAGATTCTGGGATTCTGGGATTCTGAGATTCTGAGATTCTGAGATTCTGAGATTCTGAGATTCTGAGGTTCTGGGATTCTGGGATTCTGAGATTCTGAGATTCTGAGATTCTGAGATTCTGAGATTCTGGGATTCTGGGATTCTGAGATTCTGAGGTTCTGGGATTCTGGGATTCTGAGATTCTGAGATTCTGGGATTCTGGGATTCTGAAATTCTGAGATTCTGAGATTCTGAGATTCTGAGATTCTGAGATTCTGAGATTCTGAGATTCTGAGATTCTGAGATTCTGAGATTCTGAGATTCTGAGATTCTGAGATTCTGAGATTCTGAGATTCTGAGATTCTGAGATTCTGAGATTCTGAGATTCTGAGATTCTGAATTTCTGAGATTCTGAGAATCTGAGATTCTGAGATTTAATTCAAAAACTTGAAAATCAAAATCCCGGACTTTTGAAGTTCAGAACTTCCAAAGTTCCGAAGTTCTAGAATATCAATAGTTTGATCATTTTATGATTTTAAAACTCTTTGATTCAAATTGTAACGATCCGAAAATTTCAGTTTTCTGAAATTCGAAAATTCTGAAATCCGAAGATTTCTAGAACCGAAAAGTCAAAAAAAATTCAGAAGTTCTGAAATTCTGAAAGAGAATTTTCCCTCGCCAAATCCTTTCTTAAACCTGGAACCTCTTTTTCCATCTTTTTCTAGTTCCGCATTTCTCATAACCATGCAGATTTAAAAAAAAGGAACTGCTCCTGGACTCCAAAAAAAGGAAATTTGTTGCAAGAAATGGGTAAACGGATGGAACAAAAACGGGAAAGGAACGGGTCCAAAGAAAAAGGGAAAAACAAAATAACAAAGGCCTTTGAAATCATTGAAAAACGAAAAATGGGGTTAAAGGAAAGAAGAAAAAGGAAGAGAGATTCCCTCGAGCAATCAAACTTTTTGATTTCCCTAGATATCAGAAATCAACGGAAAAGATAAGAAATGAGCCAGAGATCAAGAACGGATTCGCGACGATTGTATTCTTGTTTTAGAAATTTTGAATTTTCAAGTTTTCAGAATTTCAGAATATAGGAAGTTTGAAATTTCTGAATTTCCAATTTTTGAAGTTTTGGAATATTCGAACTTTTCGAAAACTTTATTGTTTCAGCATTTCTGAATTTCTGAATTTCTGAATTTCTGAATTTCTGAATTTCTGAATTTCTGAATTACTGAATTTCTGATTTTCTGAATTTCGCAACTTCAGAACTTCGGAATTTCTGAATTTCTGAATTTCTGAATTTCTGAATTTCTGAATTTCTGAATTTCTGAATTTCTGAATTTCTGAATTTCTGAATTTCTGAATTTCTGAATTTCTGAATTTCTGAATTTCTGAATTTCTGAATTTCTGAATTTCTGAATTTCTGAATTTCTGAATTTCTGAATTTCTGAATTTCTGAATTTCTGAATTTCTGAATTTCTGAATTTTTGAATTTCTGAATTTCTGAATTTCTGAATTTCTGAATTTCTGAATTTCTGAATTACTGAATTTCTGAATTACTGAATTTCTGATTTTCTGAATTTCGCAACTTCAGAACTTCGGAATTTTAATACTTTGGGAATTTGGAGTTTGAAATTTCTGATGTTTTGAATTTCGGATTTTCTGAATTCCTGAATTTCTCGATATCCGAATCTCCGAATTTTGGAATTCAACATTTTTAAATCTAAAAACTTGAGAATCCAGAAAATTTCTCATCTAACTCATTTTCGATTCTTCTGACTCTATTCTGATTGCGTGTTAGTTCATTCTGTGAAGAGAGAACAAAAAGAAGAAGCACACAAAAAAGTTAAAAGACTACAAAAACTTTTTGACGAATTCTGTGGTTGGTGCTCAAGGAAATTGAAGAATTCAGAATACGAGATGATGAGGATAATGGTGAATTTGTTGGGATTTTGGAATTTCGTGGTTTTCCGTTTTTGTATTTTCAGAGGAAGGTAAAAGATTCTAGTTTCGAAAAAAAAAATTTCCGAAATTCAGAAATTCAGAATCTCAAATTCTCAGAATCTTAGAATCTCAGAATTTCAGAATCTCAGATTTTCACAAACTCTGAATCTCAAAATCTCTGAATCTCTGAATCTCAGAATCTCAGATTTTCAAAATTCCAGAACCTCGAAATCTCGAAATCTCAAAATCTCAGAAAAGAATCCAAAAATCGGAAATTCCAAAATTCAGAAGTTCAGAAATTCAAAAATTCGAGAAATTCAGAAATTCAGAAATTGAGGAATCAGAAATACAGAAATTAAAAAATTCACAAAATCCAAAAATTCGAAAATTATGAAATCTATAAATTCAGAAATTCAGAAAATTCGTTGAAAATCTGTGTTTAAAACCAAAAATAAAGCTAAATACATCTGAAAAAATGTGAGTGAAGACCTGGTGGGGGTGCCAAAATGGTGAGTTCAAGTAATCCTAATCCCTCCCCTACTAGTCGTTTACTTTTGCTCTTTTTTGTTTCTTTTTTTAAACCACGCGGTTTCTTAGAATTTTTTCTACACTTGTTATGAGGATGATTAATTTCAAAATGAAAGCAAATCGGGAATTTGGGTTAGATATCCGGCCCCCACCATATACACGCATTTTGAGCGCAATTATCTCAGTTCCTGTAAAAGATATCAGAAAATGATCAACTGATAATATATTGGTGATATTTTGATAAACATTTTAACAGTTGACAGATTTTTTATATCTTTCATAGGAACCGAGATAATTGAGCTTGAAGTGCACTTATAGGGTTCTATCTGAGCATTTACGGGAGGTTGTATTGTATTGTATTGTATTTATTACGTAAAATACGTGGAAAAATAAAAAGAAAAAAGAATGAAAAAGAGAATAAATAGAGAAAAAGGGACATGGTGACATAAAATTGATATTTCTTAACCTAGAGGGGGAAGTAAACTATTGAGTCATAATTCATTCAGACTATTTTTGAATGAGTAAAAAAATTTTCAGGTACAATTTCAGATCAGAAGAACAATAGAAAACAAAACGTTCACCTAAAAAAATTACTTTAAAAAATTACGAAATTCTGAAAAAATTCCAGTATGAGTAGTGAAAAAAAAACAAAAAAAGAAGGCGATTGTTTCAGAAAACAGCCTATGAGAGACCAAGGAACAAAACGCTAAACGAATTCAACTCCAGACGTTTTCTCGTTTTTCTTTTTTTTTTTTGTCTCCTTATTTTTAACCACTTCCCGACACCTCCTCCCCCCAACGATAACACAATTATTATGAGAAAGAAAAAGGATTGTAGTTTTCAGGGAAAAAATAAGCTCCGCCCACTTTTAAATGCTCTTTTCACAGCTATCAGAGATGGACAAGGGAGAAAAAGCTAGTTTTTTAATAGGTGTAAAAATGTGTGAGAGTAAAAATTGTTTACCAAAAATAAAATCTGAAATCGTCTAGGTCAATTTTTTTTCAGACTACTACAATGACTATTTTCCTAGTACACTATTATTCTATCGTTTCTATGAAAAAGGTTTTTTTGAGAAAACTTTCTGGAATTGTAGGGCATTAGAATTTCAGAGTCAGAAAAACATTTTCGAATAAAAACAAATAAGAGATGAGTCATTTATTATTCTAGTACACAAATCGGAACTGCGGCCGAAGGTCCCACAACGACAACTACCGTAACCTAAAAATATGTTTGATTCCCGTTTTCAGTCAATTTTTTCACTACCAAAAAACTTGATTTTCCGACTTATTTGAGGAAAAATAACAGACAAAAAACACTACTTTTTTTGAAAAAAAAAATTGAAAATTTCGAAAAATTCAGATGTCCAAGGTACCGTAACTTGACTAATTTTTGTTCGAACTCAATATTTTTCGTAGTTTCGAATTTGGCATGCTGAGAGCTTCAAAAGGAGTATAATCGTGACTATGTTCCTTGAGATTTGAAATTTGGGTTTAAAGGCGCATGGACCCAAAAAAAAATCTCAAAAATCGGAATTTGAGGACTCTCGTCACGAGTATACTTGTTTTGAAGCTCTTCTTTAACTGAGTTCAAAACTTCAAAACAGAACATTTCAGGTTTTCCATTTTTCAGTAGTTTCAAGTTTTAAAACAGTCTCCGATTTTTGTTCCAGAATAATAGTGATAGAATTATGCCAGGCGCATCAGCTAAAGTGTTTTTATTATGGTCTGGCTCCGATGAACCTTCTGGCTGAAGATTATTTAATGGCTTTTCAGACAGGGTCTATTTAAGATTTTTGTTTGTTTTCGTTGAAATTCTTCAGATTCTCATGAATAACTAGTTGAATTTTTTTATAAAGTAGGAAAACTGCCTAAAATTGGTCAAAATAAAACAATTTCGGAGTACTGTATTAAAGGCTCACGAATTTATATGTAAACACCATAGCCGTTTCCTCTTCAGGACCACTGTGCGCCTCTAATGAAAATTTCGGCCACAAGGTTCGTCGGCGCCGGACAAGAATAAAAGTTTGCGCCTTTAAACTCTACAGTACAAGCTAGTAAATTATTTTTGCGACAGATTTTTCGCAAAATGAATAGATATCAGGAAATTTGGGAAAACCAGTTTTTTTTCCTGAAAATTTCCTTTTCAAGCTTTTGCAAACCGACATCTTTAGTCCAAACATCATCGTTCCTGTCGAAAAAAAAGACTCGTCAGACTGAAAAGAAATCATCAAAAGCCATGATGTCTGCAACACGAGAAGAACACAAAACAAAACGAATTTTCCTGAAGAGAGAGAATCTTCCCTCTATCTCCTCTACGCCAAACCCTGACCCGGAAACTGGCGTTTTCTCTTTTCTTTTTCTCGCGCGCGCAGAGCTTGAAATTCAAATTGAACTCGAAAAACAAGGGTTTTCTGTGTCTGTCGGGGCACTGAGGGTCATAAAGTTAACGACGGGTTCCAAGACTTTTCTGGAAAATAAGCGCGCTTCTTCTTGTGTAAATTTTTTCCAGAAAATTTCAAGAAGGGTAAAACTTGAAAAAAAGTTTTAAAAAAAATGAGAAAAAAAGGTTCTCTAGAAAATTATGAAAACCATTGAAGCACGATGAAAATTCATTAGAAGATCCTTCTCTTCTGCTTCATTAAACTTCAAGCTGGCGCACCTTTGGCGCGTTTACAAAGGTTCTGGAAGGCTCTGAATACAGCGGTGTATGAAGAAAAAAAATATATGAGAAATGCAATCAGGCATGAAAAGTTCATAGCACAGCAAGAAAATGTTCTCTTGCTGCTCACTAGAAGTGTTTTTAGGTTTCTTCCGTGTGTATTTCTGAATTTTTGACGCCTTCTTTTCTATTTTTTGAACTTCTATTCTGGCTATTCTTTGCTGAATTTGGTTGTTTGTGTGAGTGATTGCAATTTTCCGCTTTTCAAGAATGTGTGAAAAGCAATTTCAAACCGTTTTATTCAAAAGGTGTGCATGAAAAAGTACTTGAGAATGCTGAAATCCTGTTCTTCTTTTTGCTTATACACTTCAGAAGTTTCGCTCGAATTTCAGAAATTCCTGAAATAAATCAAAAATGCATCAATAAGGCTAAGTGGCATGTCAATAATTGGGTGGAAATAATTTACAGAAAAAAAATGTGAGAAATGTGTAAAAGTTTAGGGATAACGGAAATTTTCGCCTTTCAAGAATGTGATAAAAAGCTAGTGCAATGTAGATAAATAATCATTTGATGGGCTTCCAAATGTCCTTCGGCACCGACGGTCCACTAGCAGGCACTCGATCGATGCGACAAGCGAATCCACCATCGCCAACTGCGAACACAATCTGTCCATTGGGTGAAAATGCCACTTGGCGGGTCATGACACCTTTCGGATTCGCTTTGATGGTCATAAATCTGGAAAAAAAGCTCTTCTCTCCAAACTGTTGACGCGCAAATTCACAAAAAAAAAACTAACGGCTCGTCGTTTAACTGATTGCGCATATCATAGAAATGCACAGTTCCAGAATCACCAATTGTTGAAAGCCATCGTTTTTTATTCGGCTCCATTTCGAACTTTCCGAACCAGATTTCTGCATCAGTCAACTTTTTCTTGGCGATCAGAAAGTGATCGGTTCGAAATCCCTCCTCAACAACAGTCTCTGATCGATTCATTTTTCCCAATCTCCACAGCGAAATGTGGTTATCACCACCGCAACTTCTCGATAAAATGTAGTTTTGATTGTTCAACTGGATCGTGCGAACACAGTCGACAGTACCGTAATGGACGTTGGTGATGACATGAGATGGTCGACAGAAAATCAGACTGTGGCCGTCGATGTTGCTGGAAAAAAGTAGATTTGGTCATATGTGCATTTTGTCGTCGAATTTGATGTTTTCCGGTTGAAACACTGAACGTGACGACAAAATGCACAGAATTTCAAGTTTCCCACTTTTTTGAACGCGAAAGACAAACTTCTATGAGTATTGCCGTCAAATTCGATGTTCCAGCAGAAAAAAACATTGAATTCAACGATGAAATGCACAGAAGTTCAATTTTCGCGTTCAGGGGAATTTAAATTTTTGTGCATTTTGCCGTCAAATTCGATGTTCCAGCAGAAAAAAACATTGATTTCAACGATGAAATGCACAGAAGTTCAATTTTCGCGTTCAGGGGAATTTAAATTTTTGTGCATTTTGTCGTCAAATTTGGTGTTTCAGCCGGAAGCGTCAAAATTCGACGAGACGATTTTTCAGGAAATAATACTCACTAAAGCTTCTCCAGTTCCCGTTGCATCTCATTCTTGTATGCTCTGAAAAAGGGAAAAATCATCAATCACTTTAAGAATTCAGGTTTATATTTCGGTTGGTCGAAAATTGCCTGAACGAATTCATGCATTAGTGCCAGAAAGTGTTCGCGTACACAATGATTCACAAGTTCAAAAAATTCGTCGTAAATTAAAATGCTACGTACGCAAACACTTTCTGACAGGTTGTCCCACATATGCACGAACTCGGTCGGCTAAAGCTCCCAACCAAACGGAAACCTAATTCAAAATACATACCTAACGCTTCTCAACTTGGCAATGTGTTTAACTCTGCTCATGCATTCTCTCAAATGACTTTCCACTGGTTTTTGAGTCAAATCCCAACCGACCACTCGATGATCGTGACCACAGCTAAAAAGCTTGGAAGCGTCATGAGACCAGTCCTGAAAATTGGCGACAATCAATAAATTTCAGCTCCTTTTTCTCCCTTACCACTGAAATTACACTATCCAAATGGGCTTGGTGTCCACCAAGAATCAGCAAGCATGTTTGTGCTCGAATATGAAAGATGCGAATGGTCACATCTTTCGAAGCCGTCGCAATCAACGCCGGATTCTTCGGAGACGTTCGAATATCATTCACACCGTCCATATGACCCACTAATTGAAGATCCAGTGATGATGTTGCAGCGTCGATGACATAAATGACTCCAGATTCACCGCCGGTCACAATTTTGTGCGGATTCTGAGAGTCCTCCTCGTCATCATAGCACCAGGTGACAGTGTAGAGGCTGTCTTTCTGGAAAGAAGAGAACAACTTGAATTTTGTGACTTCGCTGCGCTCACATTGTCTAACTGAATACTAGCTAGCTTGAGGATTTCCGGCTGGTAGGGTGGAAATGAGAAAATTTTAATCTGAAAATTGGAAATAAAAATACAATTTTTTCAATTTCAAATATACACAGTCGTTTCCAACTGCCGCTGCAATTGGATTTTCGTCTTTCGAGACGAATGGATTGAAAGCGCATCCGTAGAAAGTTCCGATCGATTTTTCGTATAATCGAGTGCTTCCGATGAATGGTGTTAATGGGTGATCTTTGCTTTTTGTGTCGGTGGGATCATGCAGAAAAGATGCTGGTACGAAAGACTTTCGCCGCGCCATTTTAGCTGAAAATAGGGAAATTGGCAAGAAATCGATGATCGGAACGGAATCCCGAGCATTTGTAGATGAATTTTTGACCAGAAAACCCCCGAAACAACATTCGGAATGAAATTCCTAAGATTTGTTTCGGAATGATATTCCGAAGATTTGTTTCGGAATTAGCAATTGAGAGACTACGGTATGTCAAAGGCACATGAGAGAAATTGTCTTGCGGATTTCGAACGGAATTACTTCTTTTGCGTTTTTTTGATAGGGGAAAATGGAATTTGTTCTTGAAAATATGCCTGTTAAAAAATCCCGAAGATTCTAAAAATTCTCGGAATTTTCGATATTACGAAAACCCCCGAAAAGCATAATTGTAAAATTCCGGGCCGGCCCGCCAAAGCCCGGGCCTGAGTAAAAATTTCAAGGCCCGGGCCCGGCCCGGGCCGAGCAAAAATTTTGTCATTTTGAACCGAATTTCGAGCTCTCAATACAATTTTCTATATTTTTTTTGTGCTTTTTGGATTGTTTGTCTGTTTGATCAAAAAATATCAAAAAAAAAACTCGAAAAAAGTTTTTGATCGAAGAAAATCACATAAGGGTCCCCCCTTATGTGTTTTTTGAAATTTTCAAAACTTGTGGAATGACAGGCCCGCCGGGCCGGGCCTCCGAAATTCGTGAAAAAAGCCCGACCCGGCCCCTTACAAATATGCCGAAAAGGCAATTCCTCAGGTAGTTCGGAAAACCTTTCTGAGCCATAAACAAGCCACGATTAAACTAAAAAAGGTGCCCGATTAGCCACGGCTGAAAAAGTTTATAAAGGGCTGATAGTTCTTGAGCAATAGATTATGATTCCAGGAACTTGTGATTTGGATTTTTCTCAAATAAGCATTTTATGACTTTCAAACATAAGGAAGCGAATAAAAAATTAAAAGTTGATAAAAATAAAACAAAATTAGGTAAAATAAATAAAAAAAAACAGAATAAATCTTTCGAAAAGCCAGAAAAGTTTTGATAAGGCTCAAAAAGGTTTGAAAAGTTTAAATATGACCGAAAAAGATTTAACTGTGGCTTTAAAAAGTTTCAGTTTCGAGCGCAGCTGGTTAATGTTTGAAAGTTGCTTAGAAAAGTTTGAAAAGTTTGATTGTGGCTTGAAAAAGTTTAATCGTGGACTTTTTGTTTGAAAAGGTTTCAGAATTGCTCAAATGTAGCTCAGAAAGGTTTTCCGATTTACCTGAGTTCCGAACATCCCTATATTAAGTCGTGACCGAAAAAGATCTGTGGATAAAAAATGGTATGCGCCTTTAAATTCCAGAACAAGAAAATAATTTCAAAAAATGCAAAATCTTCATTAATTCTCAATTCAACAGCTAAACGGTTTCGCCATATCCTCATCGTACTTCTTTTTGGCCTGCTTCGCCTTCTCCTCACTATCCTTCTTATCCTTTTCCGGATCCGCTGGCTTCAACTCGACATTTTGTGATGCGTCGAGGTTCGGACTTGCGGCGAGCTTCTCCATTTGATCCATCTCTTTTGCCATCTGAATCGCCTTCTGGTACATGTTCTCGTAGTGCTGGAAAACAAATACAAATGAAGTATTTTTCATAAACAATTTCAGAATTTTACAGCATCTCTGGCGTTGCTAAACGCATTTTTCTCCTTCGGCATATGTTGATTTCCTTCTTCAGAAATTTTAACGCACGGTGTCGGCGGATCGGGCACGAATAGATGTCCATGGGTTCGTGCTCGCGGTTGATACGTCTCCAGCACATTTGCCACGTCGAAACACGCGCGACGGCTTCTTGTCATCGATGGTAAGTGGAGGGCTTGCCACTAAAAAGGGAAATGGAGACAATGAAAAGAAATTCAAAAAATACCTCATAAGTGAACAGGGAGATGATAAGGGAGAGAAATGAGCCGAGGGACGGGGAAAGAGCCGAGATTTGAAGGGTGCCGATGATAGTGAGAATGGTGAATAATGACGCATTGAAAGGAACTCTGAATTTTAAGACTTTTGAGCCTAATTTTGCAATTTTTTTGTATTTTTAAAATTCGGTGTACGATGAAATTTTTTAACTTTTTACTATTATTCTTGTCAGAGAAAAAAAAGGTTGAGGCGAAGTGTATGCGAAGTTTGTAAACAAATATCTGAAAGCGTAAACAAAAAAAACGTAAACAAACACAGTTGAAACGAGTGCGACAGTAACCCGGCGGGAAAATATTAAATTTATTCATTTTTTATGGGGTTATTCATTAGTAAAAAAATGCAAAAAAATGCATTTTTTCCTATTCATTAGTGTAAAAAAATTAATTTTTTTACATCATTTTTCTAAATTTTTTTACATTAAAATGCAGGTCTCTGCGGGACCCACCGGCCGAAAATGTCCATGCGCCTTTAAACATTTTGCATTTTAATGTAAAAAATTGCATTTTAATGTAAAAAAATTGCATTTTAATGTAAAAAAATGTAAAAAAATGATGTAAAAAAATGTAAAAAAATGATGTAAAAAAATGTAAAAAAATTAATTTTTTTTACACTAATGAATAGGAAAAAAATGCAAAAAAATGCAAAGAAATACTAGTGAATAACCCCATTAGCTTTTCGCATATTTTGCCGCAAATTTCGTCGAAAATATTTTTACTGTCGCACTCGTTTCAACTGTGTTTGTTTACGTTTTTTTTGTTTACGCTTTCAGATATTTGTTTACAAACATCGCATACACTTCGACTCAACTTATTTTTTCTCTGACAAGGATAATATTTTGTGCAGAAAATCATGTATAGATTCGCATTTAAACAATTTTCTCGATTTTCAGTGATTTTTTCGAGGTTTTTGTTAACCCCCCCCCCCCCCCCCAAAAACGATTTTCATACATATTTTTGAGACTGTCCGTCGGTTTTTGAGCCTGTTTCGCGACAGACATTCCCGATGGGACAACGGCGGTTCGAGTCGACGGAGCAGAAGAATTTTTCACTTCTTGATCGGTCATCCTCACGATTTCTTTGGAAAACTTTAGAATAATTGAGCCGCCTCCTTGCGGCGCACCTCTCTTCCGTGGGTGACGCGTGGCGCCACACGGATTTAGCTCAAGATAACAGTTTCAACGTGACACATATGTACTTGTATTTTATATGCACTACTTATAGAACACCCGAGTTTTACAAAATTGGAAAGAATGGGATGGAGAGGGAGAGATAGGACGGAGGAGGAGTTGAACGTTTAAAACATGCTAATACCGGAATGAGGGGTTCTTGTCTATCTAGCGGGGATGAAAAGGGAATATGATAAAAAATTGAAGAAAATTATGAACAAGACGTTATTCGTCATCTGAATCCGATTCGTCGTCAAGGATATTGATGTTGTAGGGAATCGGAGCAATGGAGCGAGAGACGAATGGGCGGTGAGTGCGGACTTCGGAAGCCACTTCCAGCTGGTAGTTCTCGATAATCTGGAATTGAAAATAGGGTTAGAAATATTCTAAAAACCCAAAACTCACTCTTCTCTCATCCAACGCATTGAACTCTAACTTCTTCTGTGGCGTCTGGAATGGATCATTCGGATCGTTTCTCTTCCTATTCTTCCTCATCGCCTCCAATTCCTTCTGCTTCTTCTTCATATCCTCTCGCTGTTTATCCCGTCCGCCACGTGTACGTACGCTCGGTCCATCGGACATTGGATACGTCTTGCCGAGTTGTGATGTGGTTTTTTGAGACTTCGCTGCGACCTGATCCATGATTCCGATTTTCCATTGCATCTGCTTCTGGAAGTCGACGCACGATTCGATGATGGACGCTTGGCGGGAACTGGAAAAATCGACTTTGAAAAAAACCGAAATTTCCGCTACTCACTCTCTGAGCTCCTTGCTGACACGCGACTCGGTTCCATGATAGTCCAATCCCTTATACAACATATCCTTCTCATTGATTCCACACTCATCCTGCAACTTTCTGCTCATTCGTCTCGTCGTGACGCGTTTATCGACTTCCAATTGACATCCAGCGAGAGAGGCCTGCAAAATACCCATTTATATCAAGAAAAATCGCTTTTCAGCTTACAATTCCCAGATTCAGCTCGGTTTTTCTGTCGAAAAACTCGGAATCGCCGACCATTCGGCGAATCTCTTCCCGCTTCTGCATATACTCTTCCATCGTTGTCGCCGACGCGTCGAATCCCTTCAACTCGATAATCGCCGCTTCTGGAAGTCCGTCATTCTCCAGAACTTGGTGTACTATCTCGTGAAGCTGGAAAAAACTTTTTTTTTTGAAAAATAATTAATTAAAAACTCTTACATTGCTGATCATCCCGTCTGAAGTCAAGTTTTCCTCTCTCACTGGCGTTCCTTCCTTCGAAATTGATTTTTGTCTCTGGAAATTGAAAAATTACGATATTCACCGAGATTTTCTAGACTACCTTGTGGTTATTTTCATCTCTGAGCACAACATTGCTTTTACGCTTCATAGCTTCTCGAGTACAACGCATATATCGCGATTTATCGAGTAGAATTATCAAGTAAATCGAAAATGTGCAAAACGGAAATTCGAACGGATCGGTTTCGCGGTTTTTAATTGGTGCGGCAGGGCGCGCTTAGTGAGCAATGACGTCATCAATTTCTTTTGTTCATGCTGCAAAAATGGGTCTTTAGTAGAAGAACAAAGAGAAGGAAACGGGAGGAAACATTAAAAATTTAAAAAAAAACAACTTTTTAGCTCAAGAAAAGACATTTTCATCAACCCTCACACGTAATTCTGACAATTTAGTGTTAAAAAATTATTTCTCAACTTCTTCTAGTCAAAACATCTTCAGAATTCTGAAAAAAGTATGCAAGAGGTAAAACATAAGGCCGTCAGATTCAGAAGACGTCGAGTTTCAGGGACAACTAAATTCTGGAGAACTAGTGAAAGCGTTGAACGAAGTGAAAATGAATGGAAATAATCAGAAGATAAAGGAAGATGGAAGCAGTTTTCGTTTCTACGTTTTCATCGCATTCGTCATTTCGATTTTCGCCTACTTGGCCGCTCTTTTCAATCGAGAATCTGTGTGTAATCTGCTGAGAACTGATCATAACGAGTATTTTGTACAATAAACTTTTAATTTTTTTTGTTTATGTTTCTGAACTTCTCTTTGACACAATTTTTGCTAAATTCTCTGACCTGTTTATATGATATATCGTGAAGATTTACTTTCTTCACTGAAGAATGCCGATTTTCAGTTGAAATGAAATAAAATGATCCAGAAATGCAGATCTTGTGTATTTGAAACGACAGAGTATTTGAATGTCGCTGGAAATTAAGCGAACCCCTAAACTATACATAAAAAAGGAAGTTTCAAAGTCAAAATTGCAAAAAATACTAGTAATTTTGAAGAATAGTTTTCGAAAAGTACAAGAATTTTAGGCCAACAGTTGAGCAAACATGTTACCGTAATCTTGCGCCTTCAAACAAAATTTGAATTTTCGGTTTTCTTAAACCGATTTTCATCAATATGTTTGCTGGAATTCGAGATAAATGAAAAATTGAACTCAAAAAAAATGAAAAAAGTGTGGAAAAACTAGAAAATTTTAAAGGTGCAGGTAACGATTTCACAGGATTCCGCTGTGAAAAACTACCAACTTTGAGCCAATTTTCATCGCTTGTTCTGAAAGATATCGATAAGTTGTCAACTGATAAATTATTTATCATAACATAAAAAATGTTTTATCAATTGACACATTTTTGATAACTCTCACAGGAACCTAGATAAACTCGATCAAAGTTTGAAGGCTAGTTTCGTTTATTGTTCCGTTATTTCCCCTAAAAAAGTCGGAAAATAAAAGTTTTTGATAATGAAAAAACTGAATAAAAACGTACAAAAATCAAGATAACAAATTCTGAAAATAAAAATATTTTTTAGGTTACAGTAGTTATCGTTGTGGGACCCTCGGCAACGACACCCATTTTTTTTTCACCAGAATATTATAGCTTCGGAGATATTTTAGTATGCTTCTACAGTTTTCATTCAAAAAAGGCCAGAATTTTTAGTTCCCCAATTGGAAATCATCGAATTGATAACCTCGAACCGTCTACTTTTTTTCTAAACTCCAGACATTATACTTTGACCTAAAACGAATTTCATAATATTCAGACATCAAGAATTTTCCAGAATCTTTCAGAAGAGACCTGAAAGATCAAAGTCTCAGTTCCGGTGTCTCCTCCAAGGCGTCATGATTTATTGGTCTTTCTGCATGCCACGTCATCACCATTTTTTGCACACACCTGTGCTGTTGTAGCTCCGCCCACTTTCCTTTGTCTCCAAGTGAAAAAATGTGCTGCGTGATGCTTTTTTCGACACGTTACGTCAGTCTCGAAACCGTCTTTTAGAGCACCTTCAATCAGCTTATCGTCCTTGTAACGACGGTGTATGTGTTTCAGGCAAAGAATGAAACAAAAAAGATAAAACAAAAAAGGAGGTGTCTCTTCTCTTCAAATCATTCATCAAATTCTCACCCGCCCCATTCGAGCCTTCTTCTTCTTCTGATTTATTCTCTTTTTTTCGAGAACTTGTTCTCTATGATAAGGGGGTGGAGAGGGGAAGATAGAGGCTATTAAAATGTGCCAAACTCAGCGAAAAGTGACCGATGGCTGCTTATCAGTGTGACCAGCCGTCATCATCACTCTTTTCCGCCCTCACTTTTTTTTTCTTTCAATTCCGAATTCACATCTACATTTTGAGCTATTCTGTTATTTAAAATTTTGGATTTTTCAGAAAAAAAACTTTAAAAATGTGCCAACATCATCACAACCGACCAAAGAGGGATCCATGCTCAGCGGCTAATAATAATGAGGTGAGATTCTTCTAGAAGTCTTTTATTTATTTTTTGGGTTTTTTGGGCTCGAAATCATGTGGGTTCAGAGCAACCAGCTCAGAGCTCTGAATAAAATTGCTCCATAGGATGGCTAAAGTTTGTATTATTATAAAATTTAATGAAAGCATCGTACTGTACTCAAATTTGGAGTGCCGAATTTCAAATAATTCATCAGTAAACTGGCCAAATTTCATATTATTTGTTCAATTGTGAGCTGAGTTATTGCTTGTCAAAGTTGCTGTATCTCATGAAAATCACAAGAAACAGTGCGCCGTTCATCTTTGGACAATCATAACTATATCTAGACTTGAGGAATCGCTTTGAAAATTTCAGTAGCTTTGAATCAAATGTAACATTATTCTACCAATTTTCGTGTTTCCAAGAAACTTGTGTCTGAAGATATACCCGTTTTTATCAGTCCGGGTTGTTGTGCGCCACCTAATTTCATAGGAGCCTACCCTTCGAGCTTAATTATCTTAGTTCCTATGAAAAATATCAAAAATCTGTCAACTGATAAAATATTGATGATATTATAATAAACAAATTATCAGTGGAAATTTTTTTGATATCTTTCGAAGGAACCAAGATAATTAAAATCAAAGTCTAACTATTTTTTTAGATCCTCTAATATCGCATTTGCAAATATGAGCGTTCAAACTCAAAGGTTGAATTTGAAACCCAATATCAAGAACACCTTGTACCAGTAAGATGCCCACCCCCCCCCCCCCTTCTTCCTTATCATTATATCACTTGATTTATTAAAATGTTCTTCTTCTAATTTCAGATCACTGTCGAGCACACAGCCATCAAATGGACCGTCTCGTTTCAACTAAAAATGATAATCGGCCAGGCGACACTCCGATGCAGATGCCTCACCGACGCCACAAAGCTGGTAAGACCAAAAAACTGTAATTTATCGGTGTCACGTGTGCAGCTGAAATGCTTTCCTTATCAAATTTTTTCTTTGTTCTCCACCTAAATACTACACTTCTTCCTAGTCATAAGCTGATAAGCTACGCGGTTTTAGGAATACGGACTTGTATCATAAGACCTAAAAGAGGAATCTTCTGGAAAAACTATGAGTACCAGGGCACAATGCTGACTTTGCACTTTTTGCGGTAAACCGAATGCCCTCAAAGTTCAAACTCTGATAAGAAAAGTTTATGGTGATAAGACAAAGTTCAAAATTGCAGGTCCTCGATGTTCGTGATCTATCGATCCGATCAGTATCGATCAATGGAACAGATTGTGACTATATAATTGCACCAAATGTATATACATTCTTCAGATCGAAAATGAGCGTATACTTGCCACCACAATTTCAGAAAGCTGGAACTATCTTGTAAGATACTCTGGGATTACTGTAGTCACAGG